CCCCCCCCCCCCCCCTGGCTGGCAGCGCCAGGCACTGCAGCTAGGCCTGGGCACTGGAGTGGGCAGCAGAGTCCTTGGTGGAGGCGATTTATTTGTGGAGCTGGGGGAAGGAGCTGTGCATGCTGGCTGGGCCTCCTCCTGTTTACTCCTTCGACCCCAACTCCAGACCTCTCCAGTTTCCTCCAACTCTCAGCAGACCAGGCAATGCCATGGTCACCAGCACACACTACTCCAGGGCACTCTGCCTCTCTGTGCAACTAGTGTATCCTTCAGGGTCTGACCTCCCTCTCTCTCCCTCCCCAGGCTATTTCCAGTCCGGTTTCCACCTGTTCTTCAGGCTCTGCTCCCATCAATGCAGAACCAGCAAAAGGCCCAAGGCTTCCAAACCACCCCTCCAACTCCACCCCAAGCCCACAGCCTACTGTTTTCAGCTTCTCCAGGGCTGGGCTGGACTGCGGGCTGTCCAGCATAGCAGAGTGCCACCAACAACGGATCCCCAAGCCCCACTCCCAGCAAGGCCACCTAAACCCGGAAAGGAAACCTTGAACTTGTGCCCTGGGGTTCACAGGGTTTTCAGACATGTTAAAGAAATTCCAGCTGGACCTGAGGCTAAAGCAGCAGCAGTTCTCAGTGCTAGGAGGCACTGCCAAAAAACATGAAGATCTGTATGTAGTTGTTTTTCTCTTCCTTTCTACCCTAACTCCACTGTTTCCTTTTCCCCCAGTGTGCGCCCCCCAGCCCCATTCTTTCTAAACCCATTGGCCACTTGATCTCTGCTCCTCTGTGGTCTCCTTTCACGGTAAACCTCCCCTTACCTTCCCAACCGGGGGACAGGACCGTATTTAGAATTGCAGGCCCGAGCTGGGCCCCTTGATCCCTGCCCTTAAACACAGCTCCCGTCCTGGCAGGGAACCGGCTGGCCTTTCCCATTCTCAAGTGGTGGGGGCGGAGGGGGACACAGGGTGCAGCACCCCAGCCTCAGACACACAGAAAAGCAGGCAAGGTGACCTCACGCCACCCCCTTCCACCCACCTCTCCCACGCCATCCGGGGGAAAAAAAAAAAAAAAACCAGCCCCCCACTGCGACTTTCCAGCGTCCCCACCTCAGCCCGGCTCTTGAGGCTGCTCCGCTTAGGTCTGAGCAGGACATCCTTGAAGTCGAGCTTGAGGTCCGCGTCTATGTGGGGCATGGTGCGAGGCGGCGCCCTCCCGCCCGGCGCGGCTGGCGCGGGCGGCTCCTTCCTGCGGCGGCGACAGAGGCGGCGGGCGCGG